ACATTCTCACCAAACAAGGAATTAAATGTGGTGGGCTCCTGTCAAAGGCCTTATCGTCTAGCGGCATAGTTGTGGCCCCTTAAATAAGAGGTCTCATATTCAAATCTCAGTGTAGAGACATTGTCTCTTTGTGATTCAGTAGGTTGAGAAAGTAAAAAAAATGTGGTGGGCTCCTTGTATGCATCAGGTGCTAATCTTCTCGTCCCATTGCAAAAGTGGCGATGGTGGCTGTGTAATAATATGAAAACTAGCTAGCTAGTCCCATTGCAAAAGTGCTAATCTTCACGTTGCAAAAGTGGCGATGGTGGTAGTCCCATTGCAAAAGTGCTAATCTTTACGTTGCAAAAGTGGCGATGGTGGTTGTGTAATAATATGAAACCTAGCTAGCTAGTCCAATTGCAAAAGTGTTCATCTTTACGTCCCTACTTATTGGTCGTGTTTTCTCGTCCCATTGCAAAAGTGGTGATGGTAGTTGTGTAACACTTATTGGTCGTGCTTTCTCGTCTCATTGCAAAAGTGGTGATGGTGGTTGTGTAATAATCTGAAAACTAGCTAGCTAGTCCCATTGCAAAAGTGGTGAATAAAAACTAACTTGAAGAGAAATGAGAGAAAAGAAAGAAACGATAAAATAAATTATCTAGAAAATGTCTTTCAACTAAAAATCTATGAAAATATTTTTAGTCACATTGAGTCTTTTATTGATGACTAAAATGTATATTTTCCTTTTAACTTTATTTTCTTTGAATACCTAAACACGGAAAATTTTAAAAGTCATTTTTCGAGTTTTCAAATGGATTCTAAAATTTTGCTCAAATTAAGCACAATAATAATTAATAGATTGAATCTAAAGGTAGCCACATTAAGTTAATTATTGATTAATTAAAGACCATACTAGAGACCCGAACGATTACAATTCTTTATTGGTTACTTTTGATACGTAAATTTTTTAGTAATTCAAGGTGTAGTCAGCTAATTGGCAAATTATGTTGTGCAAACGTGTTCACCATACACATGGTGAACATAGGGGTAGATTCATAATTTTTATATAGTAAATTCATAATTTTGATTTTCATTTATTGTTAACGGTGTTTCTTTCTTCGCAATCACATTATTTCGTCTTCGTAGCACAGATATTATGAATTTACAGTACAGAAATTATGAATCTACAGTATAGAAATTATGAATTTATAGTATATAAGTTATGAATCTACAGTATAGAAATTATGAATCTACAGTATGAAAAAATTATGAATCTACAATATAGAAATTATAAATCTACAGCATAGAAATTAAGGATCTACCTCCATGTTCACTATACGCATGATGAACACGATTCCACAACATAACTTTCCCAGCTAATTCATTAGTAACCCATGAAAGTAATCTCGAAAGTCAGTAATAGGCAATGGTATTGTAGAGTGTGTAATATTTACCTTAATTAAATTACTAATGACTAGGTCTATTTGTTAGTGTTGGCCGTTTGTGACCAACTTGGATATAAAATATATAAAGAAAATTGACTGGTTTGATGGTGCATAATAATAGTAATAATCACCCATTTGTTAATTGGTTGTTGTATATCACGTTGGAGATTAAATATATTTACGGGATTAGTGATGGGATTAATTAATTTGGTAATGACATCCATCTGACTAAACAATGGACTACTTTGGTGGAACCTTGATAGGTGCGGTGTAGGACTTACATCCAATTTTTTTTTTTTTTTTTTTTTGTGTAAACCACATTGTGATCTGGATCTTTCTCTGTCCGTTTAACGGTCTAGGTCCATTCGGTTCGCTCCGAGAGGCACAAAAACTGACCCAAAGAGAATCGTCACTTGTGGAAATCGAATCTGGGTTATCCCGGAATTCTCTCTCACAAAGAGAGCTCATTTGAGGACTTACATCCAATGTGATGGCTCTTTGTGAATACCAAACACTGATCTTTTCGGTTAATAGATTTTTAAGTCACTATGAATGCTTCCCGTGCGGATGTGCGGTGGATTAATGTGCGTGAGATTTGTACTCAATGTGCGTGAGTGTTGTGCTTAATGTGCCTGAGATTTGTACTTAATGTGCGTGAATGTGTAAAATGCAGCAGAAAATATTGATGTCAGCTTTTTCCCCATCCCCAGTAGCCATTGTCCCCTCCATGATGATGATGATGATGCGGAGGCGGGCTATGGTGGTTAAGAATTATCGGAATAATACAACAGAAATCCACACTTAGCTGCTGTGCAAATTTTACTATGCGTGCGTCATCTATATAAACATTCAACTGCACTGAAGGTAGCTGATAATCCAGAATACATGGCCAAATTGAAGGAAGAAGTAACAAGAAGCTTGGGCGTTAATGTGCGTGAGTTTCTGTTCTACTTCCTTCTGAGCTCGTAATTATATTCTGAAATACTCACGCACATTAAGCACAAATCTCACGCACATTAAACACAATACTCAGACACATTAAGTACAAAACTCACGCATATTAACATGACGCACATTAAGTACAAATCTCACGCACATTAAGTATAAACCTCACGCACATTAATCCACCGCACATCCGCACGGGAAGCATCAAATGCACCTGATCCCTTCCATATATATATATATATATATATATATATATATATATATATATATATATATATATATATATATATATATATATATAGGCTAGGGATCCTGTGAGAACATTTCCATATGAGAGAAATAAGAACCAATCTCAGTTTTACATCTGTACATGTAATCTTTAACAACTGAATATGCATACTTGCTAAATTCTATAAAATCAACGAAGATGCTAAAATTTAAATCTAAACCAAAAACGTCAGACCTTAAGCAAAAAAAAAGTGAACCACTAGACTAAATAAAATAAAAAATGCAGTCATAAAACTCTAAAATCGAAACCCTAATTGCAATCTTCTTTCGCATTTTTGCAAGTGCAAACTTTTAATACTAAATATGCAAAATGTTAACACTAAATGTTCACGTTTGCATAGTAAAGTTGGTGATAATTACAAAATTACAACTGCATTTTTTTTTTTTTTAAATCTGATTTGGTGCGTTCAATTTTTCCAGATGTAAGGTTGTGATTAGTTCTTAGTTTTCTCCTAAGGACTTCATCTCATATATATATATATATATATATATATATATATATATATATATATATATATATATATATATATATATATATATATATAAGGAAGGGTTCAGGTGCAGTAAAAGCATCCTTACGGTTGTGCAGTTGACGCACCTTAAGCATTAAAATCTAGATCAACGGCTCAAATCAATGAAAATAAAATTAAAAAAAAAACACGTGTCTAGAATAAAGAAGCATAAGCTAAAAATGGCGCACCTTAAGTGATAGAAAACACGCACCTTAAGTGTTCAAATGACGCACTTAAGTATTAAAATCGCGCACCTTCAGTTTATAACAATGGCGCACCTTAACTGATACAAAGACGCACCTTAAGTATTATAACAACGCACCTTACAGAGCGTTTGGTTGGAAGGAATTTAAATTTCATTCCCACTTAATTCCAAAGTCCACTAAATTCATTAGTTTGGTTGGAAGGAATTGCAATTCCATGGAATTGCAATTCCCTCATTTTCATGGAATTAAAATCTCATGCCTCCATTGGGATTTTAATTTCATGGATTTTGGGATGAAAAAAAATATAATGATGAGACAAAATTACCCTTTCCTTTTTAACCTAAAATTAATGTCTGACAACAACAATGTGCATTTTGGACTTTATACTACTTATTCCATTTCAATTCCCATGTATACCAAACATTGGAAATCTGGAATTGAAATTCACAATAATTTTATTCCTGCAAACCAAATACTGGAATTTAAATTCTCACTTTATTCCAAGTAATTCATCTCCCATGGAATTGCAATTCCTTTCCCACGTAATTCCCTCCTTCCAACCAAATGCCCCGTTAAGTTATATTTTTGTTCAAAAATTTTGTTCTTGAGGGTCTGAGCAAGGGGTCCGGTAGACCCCTCAGTTCAAAAGTTTTGTTTTTGAGGGTCTGAGTTACCCGTGACTCAAACCTCTTATTTTCTAAAGCTCAACTCCGCCTATTTCAAAATTCCATCCCTATATATTTGTAGCAAAAACCATGTTGACCAAGCAAATATTATGTTCAATTGGTATAATTACTCGGATCAGTTGACACAATCTATGTTTTGCCATAATTACGGCGGGTGTTATTACTGATTTTTGTAAATATTAAAGTCAAAATGTGGAATGGGCAAAGATTTTGCCTGAGATGAAGTTGAGAGGAGGTTTTCTTAAGGGAACTTGGGAGTAGATTTCCTAAGGGAACTTGTGAGGAGATTTCTTAAGGGAACTTGGGAGGAGGCTTCCTAAAGGAACTTGGGAGGAGGTTAATTTTTTTTTTTTTTAATTTTTTAATTACTTTTTAATTACTTTTTTAATAATTAGATTGATAACCTGTTAGCAACCTGTAAAAAAAGTCAATTGAACAAATTTAGCGGGTAAGTGTGGTTAATTAGCCTTTAATTTAGTTCGTGGTGGGAATTGAGCACTTAACAATAGTAGATGGGCCTGTTATAATATAGTATCTGTTTCACAAAACTCTATGACCTCCCATTTGGGAGAGTTGAAGAGGTGTCATTGAGCTCCAAGTGGTTAATTATTTAATATTTATAGAGAAAAACATAAAATTATTAATTACGTTTTGAATATAGTATCCTATATGACATGTGATTGATGTTTTCTTTGATTATTTAAATTGCTGGGAACAGCTCATTAGGTGTATAAATAAAGACCAAGTTGATTAGGCTAATCACCCATTAATTAATTGGTTGTTACGTTTAGAGCAATGCAAGTTGGAGATTAAATATTTTGAGGGGGTTATTAATTAATTTGGTAATGGCATCTATCTCACCAAACCAGCTGAGGGATTACTTTGGTGTATATATTTGCAGCAAAAACCATGTTGAATCAACCCCACAATTAAGCAAATCGATCTTTAATTTGTTCAGTTGGTATACTCAGATCTATCAGTACAGTTGACACAATCTGTGTTTTGCCATAATTATGGCTGGTGCTGTTGTTGATTTTGTAGTTGGAAAGCTGAAGAAGCAAGCTTTCCAAGAAGTCATATTCCAGTGGAGAATCAAATATGTATTACATTTACACTATAAAGTACCACATTTATGCTATAAAGTATAATATATATATATATATATATATATATATATATATATATATATATATATATATATCTACTATACTAATAAGAGCCCAAGAGAGTTAGGCCTATAATGGGTAGAAAAAATGGCGGTCACAGATTTTAATCAAATGAATGGCTCAGATTGATTAAAAGATTGATAAGATTTAAATTTTACACTAAAATTTTTCTAAAATATCCACACACCATTACTAATTCCGTTAAAATTTTAAGAATTGCTGTTAGTTCACCGTTAACTTACTTATTGATTTCAATAAAAAAAAAATGTCTTTGGTTCGAACCCCATCCCAATCAAAGTTGGCATAATTAGTACTCTATTTTACTCTTATTAAATTATATAAATAATAATTTAGTAGCTACAACAAAAAATTATAGATATGCATTTCTTTAATTTAGAATTATGTGTCCACAATGCCTTTATTCAAAAAAAAATTATTCATTATCAATAAATTAAATAAGAGAAATAATTGTATTAGTTATATTGTCTTTATTTTTCTACAATATAAAAATTCTTTATATTCAAATTTATTAATTGATTATATTCGCTACATTGTCCTTACAATGTCTTAATTCAGTGAAAAAAAATTATTCATTATCAATAAATTAATTAAGAGAAATATTTTCATTAGTTATATTGTCTTTTTTTTTTGAAAGCCAACCAATGAATGATTGTATTAATGAATCAAAGCTGCAATGCAGTCTGGAGGGATAGAATCCCAGTACATAGCCTGATCCTAAATAAAAGCTAACGAAGCTAACGTGTGCGCATGCGCATTAATCTGCCTAGAAACATGATTAAACAAGACATAATTAAAAGACGAAGCTAAAGTCCTACACTGGTCAACTACTACTCCAACATAAGACATTATGATAGTTGTATTCTGCCGTATCGCATTTCTCAGCTGTAAACAATCTGTTTGAATCGTTACCGTTGTTATATTCTTCTCCAAAAGCCAGGATAGAGCTTCCTTACCTGCTAGTGCCTCCGCCATGAATGGTGACAAACAATTCGATAGTCTCCCATTTTTTGCCGCAATAAAAGATCCCTCCGGAGACAGCAGCACAATACCATACGTAGCTTCCCCCGTGTCCTCCCGATACCCCGCATCCACATAACACCGTGGGGTGGTCTCGGTGTCGCCATCTGCCGTAGCCACCGTGGGAGCCGCCGTGCCACGGCGCACCACCTGCCGGTAGGAGTGCAGCGCCGCTGTGGCCTGTCTCCAGGCCGTGGTAGGTCGCGGCAGTGTGCCGTCCCATACCGCTGAATTCCTGCATCTCCATAAGCAATAAAGCAATGCCACCACCGCTGCACTTTGGTCCTCTGTGAACATTGTAAGCACAATTGTTAGCCACTCGGGGAATGAGTTGACAACAATATTTGTTATTGGCAATCCTGAAATATTCCAAACATGTCTAGAATAATCACAATTGATGAATGTATGCATAACATTCTCATGCTCTATCCCACACATTTGAGTATTAAATATTCTTCTAAATTATTTGAATAGTTGTATCATTTAATTGCTAGGGAGGCCTACTAGTTATTTATTTGATATAATTATTTGCTATATTAGCTAATGTTGTGCTACAAATTATTCTAATATTCAGTAGCAACTGAGGTTAATTATTGACGGCTTAGTGATAATTGGTCTCGGGTAGAATATTTTCCTAAATTAAATGCAACCGCTTGTGCTTGTGTTATTTAGTTTGTCGGTTTTCCTAGTTCCTATTGCTGCTATTAAATTAAATCTATAGCGTTTGTCTTAGATTATTTAGTAGTTAGGGGTAATTAAACCGCTTGTGCTTTATTTACCTACAACTAAGGGAAAACAGAAATGAAATAATTTCACGACAAATATTCAATTGCATATTAATTACTTTATTAATCAATGATCAGTGTTGAATTCCGGTGGTGGATCTTTACTAACCAAGGTTTCTTATTATAAGTGTTTTCGATATATCATTTTCATTGCTTTATTCGTTCAATTAAATTTCTTGTTTATTTAAATTCTCTTTTATTTTATCTTTATTCTCGATATATTCCAAACCCCCCTACCTTTAATTTGAGCAGAAAAGTTAAACTAGTTACTCCTCGTGGGATCGATCCTTACTCCCGCTACTACGTTTGTAAGGTTTTAATTTGGGAGCCTACGACAGCTCACCAATGCACGTAGGAATCCTAGTCTATACGTCACTCACGTGAGCAAATTAACAAGGGATTAGAACAAGGAATTGACCCACTCTCGTGGTGAATCAACTCCAAGTTCTTCAAGAACACAAAGCATCAAAAGCCCTCAACTTCCACCATTTTCATAGGAAAAATCAGGTTTATGCAAGTAGTGGCTTGGAATCTTTACCCAACTCTCATTGAGGCCAAGAATCCCCCCAAACATGTTAATGAATGTTGTACACCAAGCATTAATAAAATACAAACACAAATCATTCATAAACTCAAGAACCCTAGGTTAGAGTTCTTCCCCTTTTTGCAATAATCACAAACTAAGCATCAAGATAGATAATACAACCCTAACTCAAGTCCATAAACTAAATACTCATGATTAAATAGCATAAAGAACACAAAAACACGAGTGTCACTACTACATAATTCACATATAACGTCGGCTATTTAGATAACCGACTTTAAAACTTATAACGTCGGCTATTTACAAATAGCCGACTTTATATATTAAAAATAAAAATACTAAAAATAATAAATACAATAGGACGTCGGCTATTTGAATGGCTGACGTCGTAAGCTTTTTTCATTTTTATTTTTTTTTAATATTTAACCTAAGACGTCGGCTGTCTAAATAGCCGACGTCGTAGGTTTTTAAAATTAGGTTAAAGGCGACGTGACTCACCCCATTTCGCTCAGACCTCACGCACCCCCGCTCAGACGACTCTCCGCGCACAGCCACTGGTCCGATTGCCGCTGCCGTCTCGCTCAGCCACCGCTCACTGCCACCCCGCCCCGCACAGCCACCGGTTCGACGGTTTCTTCTTCGCCCCGCACAGCCACCACACATCCTTTAATTTTCTTCCGAAACGAAGTTCGAACGCCAACGCACAGCCACCACACATCCTTTAATTTTGAGATCTTGGATGGGCTGATGGATGGGCGTACAGGAGGTAGTACGATGCTCCTGGAACTTCCTAAGTGCATTCCAAACTCTTTGGTTGATCTCTCTTGATCCAAGAATTGCTCAAATCTTACCAAAAATCATTGAATTCCTCACTTGTTGTGAATGATTGCACCTTGAAATAAAACCAACACAAATTAGTCACAATTCATACAAGTTTTTAGGCAATTCACAAATAAAATAGGTTCAAGAAGGGGTAAAAATATAGATAAAAATGATTTTCAAGTGTGCTCTACTTTAAAAATAATTTTTAAGTGTGCTCTTTTGTTTAAAAATGATTTTGAAGTGAGCTCTTTAGTTTAAAAATGATTTTCAAGTGTGCTGTTTAGTTTAAAAATGATTTTCAAGTGTGCTAAAAAAGAATATTCAATATACTAATAATGAATCTTATGTCAATGATTCATTTTTTAAAGATGGACCATAATCCATAGTATAATAAATGATATATTTTTTGGATAATACTGACTCTGTTATAATATAGTATTTGTTTCACAAAACTCTATGACCTCCCATTTGGGAGAGTTGCAGAGGTGCCATTGAACTCCAAGTGGTTGATTATTTAATATTTATAGAGAAAAACATAAAATTATTAATTACGTTTTGGAAGATTGAAGTCTTGAAGATAGTATCCTATATGACATGTGATTGATGTTTTCTTTGATTATTTAAATTGCTGAGAACAGCTCATTAGGTGTATAAATAAAGACCAAGTTGATTAGGCTAATCACCCGTTAATTAATTGGTTGTTACGTTTAGAGCAATGCAAGTTGGAGATTAAATATTTTGAGGGGGTTAGTGGTGGGATTAATTAATTTGGTAATGGCATCTATCTCACCAAACCAGCTGAGGGATTACTTTGGTGTATATATTTGCAGCAAAACCCATGTTGAGTCATCCCCACAATTAAGCAAAGCGATCTTTAATTTGTATACTTACTCAGAAGATACAATCTGTGTTTTGCCATAGTTACGTTATGGCTGGTGCTATTGTTGATTTTGTAGTTGGAAAGCTGAAGGAGCAAGCTTTCCAAGAAGTCATTTTCCAGTGGAGAATCAAAGCTGAGGTGGAGAAAATCAGTGGTCGGCTAGCCAACATGAAAGGCTACGTTGAGGATTCAGGCAAGGGGAAACAAGACAGCAAGGTAGCAGAGAGCTGGGTGACACAACTGAGGGATACCACACTTCAACTTGAGGACTTGGTGGAGGAGTTGATGTTGGATTCCAAGCTTCTGGAACTCAACACTCCTCCCTGCAATTTTTGTGAAGTGAAGTCCCTCTTTGCCAACGTGCAGAGCTTGGTGGAGAGGGTGAAGTTACAGTTTTGCTTCCATCAGCAGTTAAAAGCCATGGATGAGAAGCTACTTGCTCTAGAAGCAGACAAATCAAAGTACGGTATAAAACTCAAGACAAGTGATGGAAGAAACGAGTTACTGACGGGCAGTGGGAGTGGATATATGGAGGGGATAGAAGCAGTGGGGATTGACAAGCAGGTTGAGGATATAGTAGAGCTGATTCAGAATAAGCGTAGAGAGCGGATGTTGGTGATCACGGTTTGGGGAGCCGGAGGTTGTGGGAAAACTACTTTGGCCAAGCAAGTTTATGAAAGAGTGAAGAATGATGGGAGCATCGATTGTTTTTCGTGGGTTGATGTAAACCACTCCTCAGATATTGCATTTGTTCTGAGGGCAACAATCAATGGGCTGTACAAAAGTGTTGGAACAGAGATGCCGTCTCAACTGGAGAAAGCAGATGCAAATTCTCTTCAGCACCACATTTGCGATTACTTGAAGGGAAAAAGGTATGTTGTATTCTTTGATGATGTGTGGGATGAGAAGCTGTTGAGTAAAATCAACATTCCGCTCCATCCTGCATCTGCAATTATCATCACTAGCCGTGATAATGGTATTGCTAGCGGCTCTTTTCTTGGGGCTATGCCTCATTGTGTTGAGGTGAAGCCACTAGAATTCGATACAGCATGCAACTTTTTCTGCAAATTTGCTTTTGCTGCTGAGGGCAACTGGCCTAATGAGACGGTTAAAGAATTGGGAGAAGCATTGGTTAAGAGATGCACGGGTTTACCTGTTGCAATTCTTGCAATGGCTAGGTTGATGTCCACAAAGGGTGACGATCCATCAAAATGGAGGGATGCTCTCGAAAGCCTTGACTACTACTCAGCAGAATTCGAAGAAGGTGGCAGTCTAAAATCTCTCAACAGAGCCCTATTGTTGAGTTACAATGAGCTCCAACCTCACCTCAAGTCATGTTTCTTATACTGTGCAATGTTCCCCAAAACAAAGCGCCTTCTTGTCAAAGAGTTGATCCGGATGTGCATAGCGGAGGGGTTTATCAATGAGGATAGTGGCAGACCACTAGAAGGCATAGCAAGGGATTACCTCCTTCAACTCAATAATAGAAGCTTGATTCGGATTGTCAGCAATGAGTCTATATATGTTAGAATGGACGACGAAATTGAAATGCATGACCTGTTCCGTGATGTAGCTGGTGAGGTGATTAGAAGGGAAATGTTTGCTGAAATCAAATTGAAGCATAATACCAAACTTGAGTGGAAGCAAAGGCGTAGTTTGATAATCTTGAAAGGCAAGGGAAAGGTGGTGAATCTTGAAAACGGAAATATGAAGAAGCTACGTACACTCATCATCGAGGGTGGAAGGATTATTGTGAATTCGCTCCCTCAGATGCTCCAAAACATGAAGTTGCTCAGAGTTTTGGTGTTGGAATGGTTACCTGGTTGTGTGGAGGAACTGCCCAATGAGGTTGGGGATCTAATTCATCTTAGGTACTTAAGTCTGAGTCGTAATAGGTATTTGAGACATCTCCCCGATTCCTTGGAAAGATTGCACAATCTACAGACATTGGATTTAAGATTTACTAACTTGAAGTTTTTGCCTAAATGCGTGTCACAGCTTATGCAGCTGAGACATCTCTTTGGAGACAGCGTTACAGAACAAGCGGCAGATGATATAGTATTCACATGTTCTCAGCTTCGAACATTATCTGGCATACTGATTAATACCATTCAAGCAAGAGAATTAGTAAACCTCACACAACTCACTGAGTTGGACATTGTATTCAAGGAAGGGGAGGAATGTTGGAGAGCAATTTGTGATTCTGTCAATAAAATGACAAATCTACGCTCTCTATTTATTCGACATGAAATCATTAATAATGGTGATGGTATGGTATGGGAATTTGGAAATTTCTCACCACCCCTTTATCTCGAGAAGCTCAGGCTGGAAAATTTTCAGAAATTAGTAAAGTTTACCCGCACTCTTAACTATCTTCGCTCAATTTATATAGAATTCTGTGATGTAGACTTGGATTTCTTCAATAGTCTGGAGAAACTGCCAAGCCTGTTGGATCTCTACATTGGCTCTTATAGTGAAGAACAGTTATGGTGCAGTGACGGAAGCTTTCCAAAACTTGAGAATCTACGTATACGGTGCGGGAAGCTTACCAAGTGGGAAATTGGAAAAGGAGCTATGAAATGTCTCAAGTCACTAACTATGAGTGCTTGCAAATATCTAGAAATGCTTCCAGAAGGCTTGAGAGAACTTGAGTATTTGAAAGAACTGCGTCTATTCCACCCATCTCAACAACTTATTCAAAAGATAAGTGTTGAAGGATCAGATCGATGGAAGATTGAACATATACCAAGAATTACTATTCATAATCTTGGTAATAAAGCCTCGGGGTCACTATTCGAAACATTGATAAAACAAACTGTGCAGCAGCGCAGGCTCTCTTCTGCACAGTTCAGCACCAGAAACTCTTAAGAAACTGCATGTAGTAGTTTTTTTTTTTTGAAAACCACCAAGTAGTAGTTATCCTTAGCTTGTTTACGTGAGAATAAACACTCCATCTGTAGAAAAGCTTCTTTATCTCTATCAATGAAGAACTATATATATTTTTTCTCTTTTGTTTATATTTTCCTATATATATATATATATATATATATATATATATATATATATATATATATATATATATATATATATATATATTAGTCTTGTGCGATGCCCAAAAACATATGCCCAATATTCATATTTTTTAAAATAACTAACAAATCTCTATTAATTAAAATCTATATGAAATCAAATTTATTTATTACAATAATCCAATATATAATGTCTATAAATATTATTATCATTAAAGAATATAAGAAAAATTAAGGACTTTGTGGTCTAATGGTATGTAGTTGCTCTCCTAAGTAGCTGAGGTGATAGGTTTGAACCTCAGTGGAGGCGTTTAGTAGTTGGGTGTCTCCATGTGCATAGAGTAACAACAATAATGGAAAAGATAACAACAAGGCTATCTACCCAGGCAACGAGCCCAACCAAATAACAATAATATTTTATTTTTATTTTTTTTGGTGTACTCATGGTTTCCACCGTAGGATGCAGTGACTAATTCCCTCGCTGAATTATTATTATTATTATTATTATTATTATTATTATTATTATTAAATGACGATAATCCTACGCTAATTAAAAATTTGTAATTATATGGTCAATAATGCACAACTTAGGGAGTTAAAGACAAGTAGATTAGGTTAATCACCCCTTAATTAACTGGTTGTTGTAGACCAAGTTGGACATTGAATATCAGGGTATGTTAGTGGTGGTGGTGGGATTAATTAATTTGGTAATGGCATTCATCTCACATTCTCACCAAACAAGGAATTAAATGTGGTGGGTTCGTGTCAAAGGCCTTGTGGTTGAGCGGCATAGTTGTGGCCCCTTAAATAAGAGGTCTCATATTCAAATCTCAGTGTAGAGACATTGTCTCTTTGTGATTCAGTAGGTTGAGAAAGAAAAAAAAAATGTGGTGGCCGGCTCCTTGTATGCATCAGGTGCTAATCTTCTCGTCCCATTGCAAAAGTGGCGATGGTGGCTGTGTAATAATATGAAAACTAGCTAGCTAGTCCCATTGCAAAAGTGGCGATGGTGGTAGTCCCTGTTGGTCCCGATAGATAGTGTGGTGAGTCTAGAGGGGGGGGGGGGGGGTGAATAGACTCTCGTTTTTCTTTAGATTTTTAAAAGAAAAACCCTGTCAACACTTTTGTGTAAGATAAGCACAGCGGAAAGATTATAAAGAGAGGGTTGCACGAGTTTGGTGAAAAGATAAGATGAATGATGAAAAGGATGATATGCAAGCAGTAAACTAAAGCAGTAAGTAAAGAGAAGAGCGAGACGAGATTTTATAGTGGTTCGGCCAAACTTTGCCTACTTCCACTCTTCTTCCACAACTGCTGGAAGGATTGCACTATCACTCTTTAGTACAATTACACAAAGACTTCCTTGATCACTAAGCCGGACAGCCTTTGAAGGTTTTTCAACTCCGAGAGTTTACTCCGCCTCTATCAACTTCTTCTTCTAAGTTGAGGTTGGTGAGAAAGTATTTCTTGATTCCTCCAACTGTGAAGTCTTGTTGGTGTGGGATGATTGCTTCAAGAGTGCAAGACTTCTTACAAGATGTAGGGCAGTGATGGATGATCTACTTCAAATCCCTTAACACCTTAACTAGCTGGTTCGCAAAAAGCTTTGAGATTTGTTCACTTTTTAAGAGCCTTTTGCAAGAGAGTGAGTAGAGTGATAAAAATGAACCAGCACCTTCTTAGTTGATGAAGGTTGGTTTATATAGGTGATGAAAATTCATCCGTTGGAGGGAAATGAATTTTTAAACCTTTTATCTGTTGGACAAGGACCATGGAGCCTCATGCATTTAATGCTCCATTAATGGGTTTGTACTATGTAGCCGTTGAAGGTTTGGAGGATCTGATGACTTTTGTCTTTTAGCTCCAGAGATAGTACAACTTCATTAAATGCTCTTTGGATAACGTGTCCCATGAGTTGAGGTCCTTATTGTCCTAGGATGTTGTCAAATCAGACAGGTAGATTATTCTTCTTGTTGATGAGAAGAAGAATACTTGTTGAAATAGACTTGAAAAGAACTGTCTTTTTAATGACAACTCCTTCTTTCGTTGCTGTGGAGTCTTCTTTCGCCTTGATCAGCCTATCTTCTATTCATAACTCTTTTCGTGTGTTTGTTCTAGCTTAACACGAATTACATATGAGTTATGGCAACTTTCGTCTAGAACGAAAGTAGCGATACAATACAAAACGCAAGAGTTAGGGGTCTACTTTCTACATTACATTGGTATCATCAAAATCCTAATACAAGGTTCCTAACAGTCCCATTGCAAAAGTGCTAATCTTCACGTTGCAAAAGTGGCGACGGTGGTTGTGTAATAATATGAAAACTAGCTAGCTAGTCCAATTGCAAAAGTGCTCATCTTCACGTCCCTACTTATTGGTCGTGTTTTCTCATCCCATTGCATAAGTGGTGATGGTGGTTGTGTAACACTTATTGGTCTTGCTTTCTCGTCCCATTGCAAAAGTGGTGATGGTGGTTGTGTAATAATCTGAAAACTAGCTAGGTAGTCCCATTGCAAAAGTGGTGAATAAAAACTAACTTGAAGAGAAATGAGAAATAAATTATCTAGAAAATGTCTTTCAACTAAAAATCTATGAAAATATTTTTAATCACATTGAGTCTTTTATTGATGACTAAAATGTATATTTTCCTTTTAACTTTATTTTCTTTGAATACCTAAACACGAAAAATTTTGAACGTCATTTTTTGAGTTTTCAAATGGATTCTAAAATTTTGCTCAAATTAAGCACAATAATAATTAATAGATTGAGTCTAAAGGTAGCCACATTAAGTTAATTATTGATTAATTAAAGACCATACTAGAGACCCGAACGATTACAATTCTTTATTGGTTACTTTTGATACGTAAATTTTTTAGTAATTCAAGGTGTAGTCAGCTAATTGGCAAATTATGTTGTGCAAACGTGTTCACCATGCACATGGTGAACATAGGGGTAGATTCATAATTTTTATATAGTAGATTCATAATTTTGATTTTCATTTATTGTTAACGGTGTTTCTTTCTTCGCAATCACATTATTTCGTCTTCGTAGTACAGATATTATGAATTTACAGTACAGAAATTATGAATCTACAGTATAGAAATTATGAATTTATAGTATATAAGTTATGAATCTACAATATAGAAATTATGAATCTACAGTATGAAAAAATTATGAATCTACAATATAGAAATTATAAATCTACAGCATAGAAATTAAGGATCTACCCCCATGTTCACTATACGCATGATGAACACGATTCCACAACATAACTTTCCCAGCTAATTCATTAGTAACCCATGAAAGTAATCTCGAAAGTCAGTAATAGGAAATGGTATTGTAGAGTGTGTAATATTTACCTTAATTAAATTACTAATGACTATTTTCAAAAAAAAAAAAAAAAATTACTAATGACTAGGTCTATTTGTTAGTGTTGGCCGTTTGTGACCAACTTGGATATAAAATATATAAAGAAAATTGACTGGTTTGATGGTGCATAATAATAGTAATAATCACCCATTTGTTAATTGGTTGTTGTATATCACGTTGGAGATTAAATATATTTACGGGATTAGTGATGGGATTAATTAATTTGGTAATGACATCCATCTGACTAAACAATGGACTACTTTGGTGGAACCTTGATAGGTGCAGTGTAGGACTTACATCCAATTTTTTTTTTTTGGTTTAAACCACATTGTGGTCCGGATCTTTCTCTGTCCGTTTAACGGTCTAGGTCCATTCGGTTCGCTCCGAGAGACACAAAAACTGACTCAAAGAGAATCGTCACTTGTTTGAATCGAATCTGGGTTATCCCAGAATTCTCTCCTACAAAGAGAGCTCATTTGTGGACTTACATCCAATGTGATGGCCCTTTGTGAACACCAAACACTGATCTTTTCGATTAATAGATTTTTAAGTCACTATGACTTACTATATATATATATATATATATACATATAAAATATATATATATATATATATATATATATATATATATATATATATATATATATATATATATATATATTTTGGATCCGGTGCACACCCCCTTGGCAGATGAGCTTGTGAGCATTCTTCTTGGTCGTTGATGGGTTTTTTTTGAACGGTCAGATGGTGTGTTGATGGAATACACGTGTGATTGTTTTAGGGGTTGTTTTGTAATTTTCATTTGGCATTTATTATGTCTACGCATATTAACGGAGTTAATTTGGTAAAGAGAGTAGATAAAATAGGAATTTTGTCTTGTTATCTCCGCTGTCTTGTTTCTCGGTCTCTTCCGCTTCCCATCAGCTCTCGTTCCTTCTTCACCCGCGTCTTCAACACTTCGCATAATCTCTCCGGCGTACTCAATATTGCGGTTTCTTCATGGCTGATTCAAGCAGGAGGCTGTCCAAGAGGCTTAGGGGAATCTCTTCTGCTTCAAATACCGGTATTATGTTCATCCATTCTTTTATTTTGTCGTTCTTTATCCGGTCGCATTTTTGGTTTTCCATGGTGGGCTTTTAACCGGCGTTCTTTACCGGCCGGAGTGGTTGGGTTTTTGGATTTTTGTATTTTTATTTTGGTCGTAGTTCCTCTGGGCGCTTTAGTTTTCCGGTATTTTCATTTCGGGTTTAAGGATGGTGGTCGTCGATTCGAGTAGGGGTGGTGGGCGGCGAGTGTGTTGTTGTCGCTGGTCGAGTTCTGGGTCTAGGGTTAGGGTTTTCGATTTTTTTTTTCTAATCGGTTGGGGTATTAATGGGGTCGATGGTGTTTCGTTTATGAGACTAGGAGAATGTTTTTTTTTTTTTTTTTTTTTTTTTTTTTTTTTTTTTTCTTTCTGTTGTTCATGGAGGGGGGAGGTGGCGTGCGTGTTAATTGGTGGTGGTTTGTGCGTTTGTGACTGTGACCGTGTGTAATTTAGATTTAAACTGTGGTTGGGGAATTGCTAATGCTTGTTTTGTTGTTGTTTTTTTTTTTTGTTTTTTTTTTTTCTTT